GTGACGTAATCGTTATAATTAGACTCAACCTGCAGCCCATCCCTGACCGCAGAGCCTGGAAATGTGGCCCCGGGCCTCCCCGACAGCTTTCCTCTTAACTTGAGTCGGGAGGAGATGCGGCCCACTGTGGGGCCCCGGTCCTGGGCATGGGTCCTTAGGGCCTCCATCCTGCCCTTAGCTCCTAGCACCAAGCCTCGTGGCACCCCGCCTCTGGTGAAAAGCGGCCTGTCACCCCTGCTGAGAGGTGGGCTCACCCTGCAGCACGTGACCCACACCTGGCTGCGAAAGGCATCCGGTCAGCGTGGGGCTGAAGGAGGCCACGTGCGGAAGCCAGCTCCGACGGCAGAGTCGGGCAGCGCCTGTCACTGGGGCTCCCACGGCTGGCACTCACCCAGGGAGCTGGGTGCACAGAGCCGCCCCCAGGGGCCAGGCTGCCCAGACCGTTCTGTCAATAAGCATCCATCTCAGTGTGGCCCGAAGTCCAGTGCCCTGCCCACCTGCTGGGCCAGGGCCTCAGCCCACCGTGCTGTGCCACCTTCCCCTCCTGGCTGTGGTGACAGCCTTTAGCCAAGCCACAGGATTCCTTTCAGAAACAGTCGGCGGGGTTGGAAGCGGAGCGGTTTCCCTCCCCCAACATACACATGGGAATGCATTGTCTGTGGGTGCACACAAGCTATTCGGGGCCTTTTCCCTTATCCTTGTGCCCAGGCCGGCCCTGACCCCCGTACCCAGGCAGGCCCTGACCCCCGTGCCCAGGCCGGCCCTGAGCCCCGTACCCAGGCCGGCCCTGACCCCCGTGCCCAGCCGGCCCTGGCCCCCGTGCCCAGCCGGCCCTGACCCCTGTGCGTGCTCCTGGCCCTTCCCTGGTAACACCTTGAAGCCCTTGCTGGACGCCCCAGGTCCAGCTCTGTCCCTTACCCCATCTCTGGCTGCCATGGCCAGCCTGCGGCCTCCTGCACCCCTGCTCGCCAGAGGCAAAGTCCCCATGGGGCCCCCAGATTTGACCAGTGGGACTTCCCCGGTGCCCCTTGGGTGGGCTCCACCTGACCACAGCACGTGGCATGTACCCTTCCCCACCCCGAAGCCGAGCACGGTAACTCGGGGTTGCTGCCTTTGGTCGGGCGGAGCCTGCAGCTGGCCTGCGGGCTGTGTGGGGGTCTGAGGGCGACCCTTTGTGACGCCAGCTGTGGGGTGCAGGGGGCCCCTCGCCCTACCTCCCAGGGCCTGTTTCATCACGAACTCCATGGCGATGGCTGAGTCCTCAGCGGCTCCTCGGAGGGCCGAAACTCACGTGCGAGTGTGGCCAGTCCTCTGCCTGTGGGGGGATGTGGTCACAGGTCACCTGAAGGGCTGGGGAGGACGTGCTCCTCGCTCCTGAGATGCGGGTCTGGGGTCTGAGACAGCATCATTCACGGTCCCTGCACACCTGGAGGCCAGACCTCAGGATGGGACAGGCACCTGGAAGGGTCTGGGAGGGTCCCTGCAAAGTGGTCTCATCAAGCTCCTGGAGTGTGTGAAGGTGGATTTTGGCTGCTACTGCAGGGAAGGGGAGGGTGCAGCTGAAAGGAGGCGGCCTGTGTGAAGTGAGGGCAGCCCCAGGGGCGTTTGGAGGTGACTGGCTCGGTGACTACTTGCTGGAGCCCTGGACCACAGGGGCAGGGATCTATCTAAAGACGGGAAAGGTTAGTGTGGGTGGCACCTGGGGGAGCGCCTTGGGTCTGATGGAACTTGGGAGACCAGGTTCCACCAGGGGAGATGCCGGCAGTCATTGACACCTGCCCAGAGACTCGGGGGCGGGGGTGCAGGGAATCCAGCCTTCAGGGAACAAATGAAATGGGGGGTGACCACTGCGCCCCTGCATGCATGGGTGGGCCTCTCCAAGTATAGGTCAGCTGCAGGTCTAGTGGGGAGGGGCTTCTTGTAAAATCAGTAACTGCAGTGCCCACCCCCCTTCCTGTGAAGTCTCTCCTGGCAAGGAAACCCAGGTCCCTGGAGAGACACTGTTTTATGCCTTTAAATTGTTTCCTTCCCAGATGAAGGAGACCTGTGTTTGTGCTGGCTGGGGAAGGAATGCCCCCGCCTGCCCGCAAGGCACTGGCGCGCAGGGGCACCTTTGCCGCAAAGCAGATCCTCTTCCAAACTTCTCCCCTGGCTCCCGGGGGAGCGGATCCCAAGGCCACAGCGCGGCCAGGGCGCTGCTCGAGCTCCCCCAAGGCTCCCACCGCCGCCCGCGAGGCTCGTCTCCAGAGGACGCCGCACCCCTCGGCTTTGCTGGCGGGCGAGTTGCCCGACTCTGCCAAGCGGCCCTCAGGCGGGAGCGCGCCAGAAGAGAGAAAGAAAGACACAGAGGACGAAGCAGGGGAAGGGGGGGACGCTAGAGGCAGGAGACTCGGAGAAGCAGCAGGAAAGAGGGAGGGCACGGGCCGGGACCGCGGGGCCGCTTCAGCACCGCTACGGAGGACAGCGCCCGGCGGGGCCAGGGAGGGGGCATCCGGGGCCGGAGAGGGGGCATCGGGGGCGAGAGCGCGCCCTGCCCGGGCCGGGGAGGGGGCATCGGGGGCCGGGGAGGGAGCCGGTTACCTTCCTGGGGCCGCGACCGGGGCGCGAGAGGGCGGGCGGGCGGTCAGCGGCAGAGCGCGCTCGGGCCAGCCGGGTCCATGTGGCGCCCCGGGAACTGCGGCTTCAGCTGAAGGGCACGGCGAGGAGGGCGCGTCACAGGGAGGCGCTCCCCGCCCCCCGCCCGCGTCTAGCGTGACGAGGAGGGCGGGGCCGCGGCGGCCGGGCGGGCGCCCGGGGTGGGGGTGGAAGGAGCGGAGCCGCGCCCCCCCAAACCCTGCCGCTGGGCCGGACGGGGGCGGGGGGGCGTCCCAGGGAGCGAGCTCTCAGTCGGACGCACCACCCCGGCCCTCCCCTTAGGGCAGAGCCACAGACACTGCCCCCAGCCGCCTCCGTCTGATCCGGTCTGCCTGGACCCGGGCGGGGGCCGCCCCCAACCCAGCGCGAGCCAGGGACCCGCGCTCCCATACACTTGCGCCCATGCGGAGCGCCTGGCGCGCGGGCGGGTCGGTCCGCAGCCCAGTGGGAAAGGCCTTTTCTTGTTCGGGCTTTGGCTCTCTGCGGGGGTTGGGGGAGGTTGGGGGTCACGGCCCCGCCCGGCTTCCCACCCTCCACGGGGGCGCGGGAAGCGGTTCTCAGCGCGGCGGGTGACCGCGGTCCCCACCGAGCCGAGTGCCCCTGAGCGCTGCTCCGGTTTCGACCCTCGCCGCTGGGCAGGAGAAGGGGGCCCCCAGACCCCAGAGAACCCATCCAACCGTTGTCGGAGGGCAGCCCACAGACCGACTCGGACCTATTTGTCTGCGTAACAGGGTCGCAAAGAAAGAGCCACGCCGTTTCACTTTAGCGGGACAGAGGCGGAGCGACCCCCGCGCCCTCGGCCGGCGGCCCCACGCCGGGCAGGGACGAGCGAAGGTCACTGCGGAACGTCCGCTCAGCTCCCGCCCGCGCGGCCGCGCCCCTGCTCCGGGCCTCCGGGATCGCCTCTGCAGTGGAAACCAGGTTACAACGGGGAGAGCGGGGTCGCTGCAAGGTCGGCGCCTGGCCTGCAGCCGCTCCAGGGTCAAGTGACAGCCGGCAGCTCTGCCCGGCTCACCCCTGATGACTGCTCCATTGACTTTCACACACCGCCCCCCCCCAGCTGAGTCATAGCTGGGCCTGGGGTGATCCTAGAGACCCCCACCCCGCAAAGCCCTCCTCACGCTGCCCCCCAGGACAGACAGCCTGAACTCGGGACGCCCTGCCTGTTTTCCTCCATCTACCTGGTGCCTGGGCTCCCACCGTCCACCCGTTGCTGACCACCTCCAGGCCTGAGTGTGGGCATCAGTGGCCGGACGGGGGCCCCCAGCAGTAAGGGGTTAGGATGGGGATAGGGTGGAGGCCAGCACCGCTTTCTGGGAGTGGGCAGGGGCACCCCCACTCTGCAGCTACTCTGCCCAGTGAGGACCCTGGTGGCCCTGGGGGAGGCCCATGCTCCAGGACACACAAAGCTGCAGACTCCTTGGATGCTGGGGCTGTAAGAACCGGCCCAGAACTGTTCACTCTTCCTGCTGGTATCTCCTGTCACCTGGATCTGGGCAAGGTGGGTGCACTGAGGCTGCTCTGAAGGGTGAACCTGGGAACATACAGGACTCACACTGGACCTGCAGGGAGCCCCTTGTGCCTGCCCACCCTGGCCAACCCCCATGAACGTGAGATGCTCATGTCTGTTTCACCTCTCGCCCCACCCTTCACGCCTTCAGCAGGTCTGGGACAGGTGTTCTTGGGAGGGGGTGGTCACCGGTTTCCAGGTGTCGAGGGTCTTCGGGCCCAGCCTTAGCCCTCAGGGTCTGTGCAGCCTGGCCCCTGGTGTTCTCAGGCCCTGGGTGTGGACACAGGAGGGAGACGTGTGTGTCCAGCAGGGAGACGCTCCTTCCCCTGCTGGAGCCTCTGCCCTCCAGCCCTGCCAGCCCTTCCATCCCCTGCGTGGACCCCACAGACCCCGTGACCCAGGCCCGGCCCGTGTCGGTGGCCGAGGACACAGGCCCTCTGCTGACCTTGCCACCTGACCCTCCGGCCCTCAGCCTCTTTCTCCCCCTCCTCTTGGGGTCACCATTCAGAGGTCACACGTGAGGTCATCACCTACCTCTCTGTTGTTACCCCTCTTAGACCCACCACACACTCACAGCTGCCTACTCAGTTCTCATATCTGTCCAGGCCCTAGGCGGGGTGAGGGAGACTCAGACCCTTCCATGGGAAATAGACAAGGTTAGTGACAGTCCCAGCTCAAGGCGCCCGGCACCTGAGGAGGCCTGGAGGGCAGGGGTCAGCTCCCGGCAGGCAGGGGACAATGCCCTGTGACCAGGAGGTGATGCAGCTCATGACCTCTGCCTGGCCGTGGGGCAACACCCCAGGTGGGCACCCATGGCCCCATGAGTGCCTGGAAGAGGACCTAGGTGCCGGTGACCAGTCCCCAAGCCTGCAGCCGACCCGAGAGTCAGGAGTGGAGTGGAAATGTCCATGACAGCAAGAAGGGCTGAGCCCAGGGTGCCGGTGCGCGTCAAGGGTTGACGACCACAGTCAGAGCGGGGAGGTGGGTGATGGGTAGACCAGGCTGGGTGCAGGGAGCGGGGAGGGGGGATGGTTCCCCCAAGGTTTCAGCTTCGGGGCCTGCCAGCAGGACGGGGCAAAGCCCTGAGCTCAGGCCTACGTGGGCTCCTGAAACCCTGAAGGCTTGGAACCCCTGACCCGCAGTGGGGCTACGCTAAGGCCAAGACCACACCGTGCTGGTTTGAGAGGTCCCCTGCAGCCCTCACGGGGCCACTCCAGATGGCAGGGACAAAGGTGGCTCCCTGGCTCCAGTGCCCCCAGCCAGCCTCCTGGAAGCCCTTTTCTGGCTCCCGTCACGCCCCCGGGGAGGCCTGGCCCCTGCTGGTCCCTAGGTTCCAAGAGGGGCCAGGATCACTTGAAGTCCTTCTTCAGTCCTGGCGAGGGGTCTGGCCAGGGGGCTGCAGGCCCCATGGGAAGGACACACTGGCTCACCAGAAACTTCAAATGCAAACTGAATATTTCAACACGATGAATAATTCAGTCTCTGGCACCGGCACCAGCTGCGTGGCCATTTTCCTGCTGGATTTCGTCATTACTTTGAAAGGTAATAACACGTGAAAAGCAGAAGCCACCAGACGGGATCATCACTGCTGCTGCTTGAAGCTGGGCCAGAGCACCTCGCTCGGCATGGCAGACCCCGCGTGCTCCCACCCCAGGGTCCCATCCGGCCATGTGGGCTCCAGGGAAGAGCTGGAGGTGCTGGCCTGGCCCAGGGGGCCAGCTCGATCCTTGGGCCCTGCCCCCACCTGGGGCGCTGGGACAGGTGGTTCCCTTTCCCACCTGCAGGGGCTGCTCCTCACGCTCCAGGGATGGGCAGGCCTTAGGTCACCCTGGGAACCCCGAGGGCCCGCCTCCCTGAGAGGCCAGCCCAGGATCTGGGCTCAGAGCACATCTCCTGTGCCCATACTCTGCCCGCCCCGGACCCCGCGGGGCACTACCCCGCACTCAGTGCACTGGCGGGGCGTGCTGTCCTGCAGACGCCCCCAGCCCGCTCCCTGCCCCCGCCCGCGGTCACCTCCTGCCGGCCATCCACCCCCTGGCCTCCTGCCCACCCATGCCCACTGGGGGGCCAGCCCTCTCCTCTTCCTGGTCTCTTCTCAGAGCTCTCAGCACAGGGGTCTGTCTGTGGGGCTGGGGGGAGCCTGAGCCCACCTGGAGGGTGGGGAGTGTTAGAAAGAGGGGTCATGACTCCCCGAGATGCCCAGAGCAGGGCCTGGGGAGGGGCTGGGCAGCCACGCGGGGCCGTGAGGGCCATGCCCCCCCTTCTCCTCCGGCTGCTGCCTGGACCCCCCCTGTTCCCCGTGCTCCCAGGTGAAAATAGAGTTCACACCGCCTGAAAATGGAATCCCACTTCTCCCCAGCTCTATTGCAGGTGGTAACCACAGGGGTGCGGCAGCACGGCAGCACCAGGCGGCCCTGGGTGAGTGCGGGGGCCTCGGTCACGAGCGGGACGTGGGGGCAATGGGGAGGCCGTGAGTCCTCAGGCCTCTGCCCGGCGGGATCCCCCGTCGCCCCCACCCTGGGCTCAGCTCGCCCGAGCCTCCCATCGGGGTCTCTGCGGCCAAAAGGAAAGTGATGTCCGGCTGAGGGGCCCACACCCCACTCTGTCCAGTGGTCACTCCCTTGCTGCGCGACCCTCACAGGGTGAGTTCCCGAGATGCACCAGCAGTCCCTGCTCTGTGAGTGACCCCACCCATCACCAGAGGCCTCCTCCGCCCTCCACGGGCCGCCGGGACCAGGCCGGGGACCCTCCACAGGACACGCCATCAGAGGCCAGACTCAGTGCTTCCTGCGTCCCTCAAGGGCCCAAGCTGCCAGCGCTCGGCGCGGGTCAGGCCTGGACTCCCTCAGCTGGTGATCTGCGTCCAGCAAGGACCAATTTGGCTGACAACAGGGCGGGCCCCCTGGGGTGGGCTTCAGGCTCAAGAAATCCTTCCCAGAAAGGCAGGCTAATGAGAGACCACCACGCGGCATGTCCTCCCCACCCTGCCCCCTCCAGTTCCCCTCACTCAGACCTGAGTAAGGCTCGGCCTGTGCGGGTCCCGCTGGTGGGCCTGCATGCCAGGAGGCCCAGGAGGCGCTGTCTGGGCCTCGGGGGACCCTGTCTGCTCACTCAGGGGTCTTCCTTTGGTCCTGGGCTGGGGCCCCTCCTCCTGTGCTTATGTCCAGGGGGCCTGGCAGCCCTGGTCAAGCAGCTTGGGCTTGCAGGGAGGAGTGGGCAGCTGAATTCAGGCCCCGTTCCTGTAGGCCCAGGGTAGGGGGTGGCCGGAGGCCTGCCTCAGAGGACAAGGAGGCTGCAGCAGCCAGGCCCTTGCAGTGCAGTCCAGGGGACCATCCAGCTAGTGACTGGAGCTCTGACACCACCAGCGTCAGTCAGAGGCACCCTGCTCACGGCACCCTGCTCACCCATCAGCACCCTGGAGGGAAGGGGGTCTTGGGGGCCGGGCCCACCCCTGGATCACGTCCCCCTCCTGCAGGACCCTCAGCCCTCATCTATCCAGAGCTCAAGCCACCGGTGGTGCCCGTCACCGCGTGGTCTACTGCCGCCCCAGGAGCTGTCCTGGTGGGGGCGGTGGAGGAAGGCAGGCGAGGCTGTGCAAGCGCCGTGAAGAGGCGGAGCAGTGGAGCCAGAGAGAGCTGGGGAGGGTGGCCTTCCAGGCAGCACACTGCGGGCAGGCCTGGCCCAGCCCAGATGGGTACGACCTCTATCCACCTTCAAGGCGGGAGCCCTCGAGGCCCTGGGACACCCCCTTCCCCAGACTACATCCCTGGCTGTTCAGGCTCAGTTGTGTCCGACTCTTTGCAACCCCATGGCCTGCAGCACTCTAGGCTTCCCTGCCCTTCACTATTTCCCAGAGCTCAAATTCATATCCATTGAGTTGATTATACCATTCAACCACCTCATCCTCTGTTGTTCTCTTCTCCTCCTGCCCTCAATCTGTCCCAGCATGAGGGTCTTTTCCAGTGAGTCAGCTCTTCACATCAGGTGGCCAAAATATTGTAACTTCAGCATCAGTCCTTCTCATGATTATTGAGGGTTGATTTCCTTTAGGACTGATTGATCCCCTTCCAGTTCAAGGGATTCTCAAGAGTTTTCTCAAATGCCACAGTTCAAAGAAAGGCATCAATTCTTCAGTGGAGGTACTTTCAGGATTCATATGGGAATTGCAGCATCACATGCAGAAAAGGAAAAAATGACAGAAACAGAAGGCATCCCAAACCGGAGAGAGGAGACTCCCCCTCCGCCCCCATGAGAAGCCTAGGAAGTGACTGAATCAAGTTAACCCCTCCTTCCTGGCCTGGGGGCTAGGCCCTGCCCAGTCCAGGGGGCCTGTGGACAAGTCCCAGCCCAGGGCCAGGTGTGCACAGTGAGGAGCAGCACCCCACCAGTGCCTGTAGCTGCCCAGTACCCCGCCCTGTATCCAGGCTCTGCCCCCCACACCTATGTACCCTCCCCCATCTGATTCCTGGAAAACCCTGGCCCAAGTCCCCCTAAATCTACCTGCATCCCAACACTCACCCAAAGGCAACACGCCTGCTGGGCTCACCACTGCCTGAGGGGCCCCTCCTGCCCCCTTCCCGCCTCCCCTCCTCCTGACACCCCCCGGGGTGGCCCAGGACCCCGCAGATTTGAGACCCATAAGCTGTGTCCTGGCCCTCAGGCCAGCTCCTCCCCAGCCTGGCTGGCCTGGGCCTGCCCCTACCTGTTAGCCGTGACAGTCCTTGGGACTCTCCAGGCCAGAATACCTGAGTGGGGAGCCTTCCCTTCTCCAGGGGATCTTCCCAACCCAGGGATCAAACCCAGGTCTCCTGCATTGCAGGCCGATTCTTTACCAGCTGAGCCACCAGGGAAGCCCAAATGCCCCCAGGAGCAGTCCCCAAAGGACGAGGTTCTGACCCACAAGTGGGTCTGGGGGTCCTGGTCCTGAAACATCGCTCTCAGGGAGGAGTGTGTGTGCCAGGGACACGAGGGCAGGCAAGTGAAGGTGGGGGTGGAGTGGGGGTGCGTAGGGGGTGTGTGTCTGTGTGTGGTGTGTGTCTGTGTGGTGTGTGTATGTGGTGCGGTGCGTGGTGTGTGTGTGTCTGTGCATGTGGTGTGTGTGTGTCTGTGGTGTGTGTGTATCTGTGTGTATATCTGTCTGTGTGTGTCTGTGGTGTGTATGTGGTGCCGTGCGTGGTGTCTGTGCATGTGGTGTGTGTGTGTGTGTGTGTATGTGGTGTGTGTGTGTCTGTGCGTGGTGTGTGTGTGTGTGTGGTGTGTGTGTCTGTGGTGTATCCGTGTATATCTGTGTGTGTCTGTGTGTGTCTGTGGTGTGTGTGTGTGTGTGTGTGCGTGGTGTGTGTGTGTGTGTGTGTGTGTGTGTCTGTGGTGTGTATGTGGTGCGGTGCGTGGTGTGTGTGTGTCTGTGGTGTATCTGTATATATCTGTGTGTGTCTGTGTGTGTGTGTCTGTGCATGTGGTGTGTGTGTGTGTGCGTGGTGTGTGTCTGTGCGTGGTGTGTGTGTGTCTGTGCATGTGGTGTGTGTGTGTGTATATCTGTGTGTGTGTGTCTGTGTGGTGTGTGTGTTGCGGCGCCCTCCGGGCAGCGAGCCCACCTCCCACAGCCGGGCTCTGGGGAGGGGCAGAGTCGTCGCCGAGGCCTGGGGCTGCGGCTCCTGGCAGGGCCCAGCGCGCCCAAGGGCGCCGGGGGACGGGGGCTCAGTGGCTGCAGCGCGAGGGGATCTGAGCCGGCTTCATGCTGGACAGAGGGTCTCCTTTGGCCAGGATTCCCACCTCCGAACTCCACCTGGGCGGGGGTGCTTCTCCCAGGCCCATTCACAGAGCTGGGGACAGTCACCTGTGCGTGCTGGGACAGGACGATTCCCGAGGTCAGTGAGGGACCCGCCAGGCAGTCTGGGGTTTGGTCCTGCAGGAAGGGAACCACCGGGAGCAGGGGCCCACTTCTCCCAGGGCCCTGTGGGGCCCAAGGGGATCTATCCCTGGGTCCCCCAAGGCAGAGCCTGGACTCAGGCCCGGGGCAGCAGTTCCTCTCTGAGGCCTCAGAAGTAGTGACCGGGGCAGGCAAGGAAGCCAGCAGGGGTCAGCAGCTGAGCTGGCCCAAGCCATCTTCCTGGTTCACAAGCAAACGAGTCCTTTCCTTTCCACAAATGGGCATTGCCGGTAATCCAACAAGGGTGGGATTCCAGCCTGCTTTCTGTGCTGGAGCCAAGCACGTGGGCCTCCCCTGGCACCCGAGGGTCCCCGCCCACAAACCCCAGGGGCAGGCAGCCTCCCCGAGGCAAGGAGAGCCACACAGCAGGAACGTGATGGGGGTCCGACATCAGGGGGCTTCCTGCAGGGAAGTCACAAGCCCAGCTCCTTCAGACTCAGGGCTCAGTGCCTGCCGGGACTCGGGGAGCCGCAGAGGCCACGGGGGACAGACTGGGAGGGACGGCTGGCATGGGACAAGGGTCGTGTCCCTCGCGACGCCCGTCACCCAGATGCTCAGGCACATGCCGGGTGGGGCTTCTACAGGGCAGGGGTGGCCAGACTAGGGGGTCCCGGGTCCAGACCCGACCTCTGCAGAGCCGCCCCCCAACACAGCCTCTGCAAGCAGGGGAACAGCTGGTGGTGCCAGCTTAGGGCCAGGGTCACTCCCTGAGTCCCCGGGGGCCCACTGCAGGGGCCACACCTGGTCCCTGGAGGATGGAGACACTGGGGCCGTCACCCACCCTGGCGCTAACTCAGAGCCGGGGCGTGAGGAAGCGCCCATCAGACCCAGGGGAGGCAGGTCCTGCAGGGCCTGAGCCGGCGCCTGGAACATGCGTGTGCACCCTCGGGCCTACTTGGGTCGTTTGCTGTTCCTCAGGAGGCCTCAGCCTGCGGAGGACCAGGTTTACGCCTCCCAGGTGGTAAGGCGCCCACCTCAGCGGGGACGGAGCAGCGGCCAGGCCCTCAGCCTCCTCCCCTGCCCTCTGCTCAGGCCCGTTGCCCAGGATGGGGTGGGGGGGGACCCAGGGGCAGAGGTTGGAAGGTCCGGGGCCTCAGGAGGGGAAGCAGGAGCCCCCTCCTTCTCCGGGCCTCCAGGAGCCACAGGCTTTGCCCTCTCCTGGACCAAGGAGGTCCCAGAGGCTTCGGGTCAGAGTCCAGCTGCCCATACTCCCAGGTGAAGCCTGATCTGAGGACGAGCCCACAAGGGCAGCATGGGGTGGGTCCTGGGAGGTGGCGCCCTCCTGAGCCTTCCTGGCATCACAGCTGCCGCAGTGACTCACATGTTGCAGGCTGCAGCTCTAGCACGGCCGGCCACGGGTGCGGGCGGCCAGGAGGCGACGAGCCCTGGGGTGCGGACTCACAGGAGGCTGGACCGTCACCTCTGACCAAAACCACAAGGCACGCAGCCGCTGCTGGCCCCAGGCCCACACTGCCCAGCCTTCCTGCCGCGACTGACCGCCCCGCCCAGGGCCCGTGGGGGCCTGGCTCGGTGTGGGCGAGGAGCCTGGTGCTGCGGGGCAGGGTCCCTACGCTGCACCTCCACGGACGACAGCAGACAGGCTGGGAGGTGGAGAGGCAGCCGGAGACGAGGGCCATCAGAAAATAGTTTAATTCTGTACAGTGGTCACCAGGCTGATTACAGGGGAAGACACAAACGCTCACGGACAGACTCCGCAGGACAGCAGCGCAGCGCCATCCACCTCGTGGACACGCCACCGGACAGAACAAATCACAGCCGTGACACGCCTGGGGGGAGCACGGAGTGTCACGCCTCCTCTGGGGCCAAGAGAGAAAATTAGAGGACTGGGAGGCTTTGGAATGCTTTCTCTTCTCCCGCCGGGAGCGGCATCGGCTCCGACCCGCTGAGTACATGGGCACGATGCGAGGACTGGGTGCAGCCACGCCCGCCCACACCGCCGGAGCTCCGGCCACGCTCGAGGGCCGCTCGCAGCTACGGCTCCAGAGCCACATGCGCAGCCGCAGTTCAGAAGAGCGGCCGGGAGCCCTGGCTCTCAAACTCAGCCCAGGCGTCATTGAGCTCCATGAAGATCATCCGGGCGTACTGCTCGTGGGGCTGCCCCCGGGCCTGCAGGGTGGACAGCAGAGTAAGGGCGGCCTTCCCCGCACCTGCCCACCCCATCCCCACGCCCACCCCAACCCAGCACTCACCCTGTCCAGGGGACCCCCAACCTGGCACCCACCCCAACCCGGCGCCCACCCTGTCCAGGGGACCCCCAACCTGGCACCCACCCCAACCCGGCGCCCACCCTGTCCAGGGGACCCCCAACCTGGTGCCCACCCCAATCCAGTGCCCACCGTGTCCAGGGGACCCCCAACCCCACACCCACCGTGTCCGGGGGACCCCCACCCCGGCACCCGCACCCGCGCCCACCTTGTCGGGGTGGACTACCAGCACGGCGCGGCGGTAGTGCTTCTTCACTTGCGCGGGTGTCACCAGGTCGGCCATGCCCACCGGCGTCCAGCGGCTCTCGCCATCCCACAGCGCCGTGTGCAATGTGGACAGCAGTGCGCGGATGTTCCTTTCCTTGCCCTCCGTCCACTCCAGGAGCTGCAGGAGATGAGGTACTACTGAGGGGGCACTGGGCCTGGCCTGCACCAGCCCCACAGCTGGGGTGAGCCCCACGGAGCCGGGCTCTGACCGTGAGACGCATAGCCCCGTTTCTGCACTGAGCCCCCGCCCCCCTGGCATAGCCAACACGTCCCTGGGTCTGGACGGACAGGACGTGGAGGAGACTGGTGTGTGGAACCAGGGACCCGTCCTCGACGGGGTCGTCCACAGACCACCTGCCATCACGGCCTCCGCCTGTCCCTGGCCTGGGGCCCCAGCGCCCGGCAGGAACAATGCCGGACTCCAGGGGGCCCTCAGAGGGCCCCATGACCCCGTCTCCCAGCTGTCCTCCCAAGGTCAGGGCGTAAGCACACAGACATCGGTCACCCTGCGGTCTCTGCGGGTCAGACCCTGACCAGGGTCACACCTGGCTGGTCTCAGAGGTGTGAGAAGCTTAACGAGCACGAAGCCTCTTGTCCCAGCCATGTGGGGACAGCTGATCTTTCACCCCAGAGCTTTCAGAAGAGCAGTGAATGTGGACGGAAGCCCCCTCCCCGCAATGTGCTGCACAAAGGTCCTCACGTCTAAGCCAGCGGCCGGCTGGTTGCATCCCTCCCCTAGTACCTTCAGCTTCAGCGGATCTGAGTCCCGGGCCTGGTCCTGCCTCCTCATCTCAGCGATGGTCCGCGGCCCCTTCCTGTCGGCCCGCGAGGAGAAGCCCTGGTTGGACAACAGGTCTTCAAAATCGTTCTCTGACACCCTCGGCTTTGGACCTGCAAGTGAGCAGAGGGTGACAGCCTGCCCGCCCCTCCGCGCTATGCAGGGGCTCAAGGATTCCTCGGACAGAGGCACGGCTGAGACGGGCAACAGCCGACGGAGCTGCCTGAGCTGTGGGTCCACCACTGTGGGTGGCGTTGTGGCAGGCGTCAGGACTCCCCCCCACCCCAAGGCGAGTGCTGCAGTCAGGTCTGGCCCGGCCACCGCTTCCTGGCCAGCGAAACAGAGAAGGTTCCTGGACAGGGTGGCCTGGCCACCTGAAGTGCCTGCCAGGGGCAGAGGTCACCCAGACACTGGTCTGAAATCATGAACTTCCGTCCCAAGGGGCTCCCATGGGTGGAGTCTCTTTAAACACCCTTCCCCAGGACTGAAATGAGCCGGACAAGATGTGGCTTCGCTGTACCCCCTTCACGGGGCGGCAGGGGAACTCACCGAAGCTGGGGGCGCGGACTCCCCGTTCCTCCCGGCTGCCGATCACACTAAAGCTGGAGGTGTAGTTAGGCCTTGGCTGTACACTGGCTTTGGGGGGCGGCTTGGCATGGGGGGGCCACGGGGTGCCCTGGGCTGGGGGCCGACTCGTCTGCCAGGAGCCGCTGGCCTTGGGAGGGGGCGCTGCTTTGGGACCAAAGCCCCCAAGAGCAGATGTGGCAGGTGAGCCTGGGGAGACAGTTCCCGCGGGAGCGTCAGCGACAGCCCAGACAGGCTGCCCTGCAGACACTCAGGCCTCAGGAACCGTGCCCCAGGTCAGCAGCCGCGACGGGCTCCCCTCCCCACACGCTCACACGCAGGACCAGTCCAGGAAGCTCAAAACCAGTGCCCAGAGCACCCAGCCCCTGACCAGCACACGTGGGCATCATGTGTCACGTGTATGGTCCTTGGCCACTTCACGCGTGTACAAGCAGCAAGCAGCGGGGTCAAGACGGCCCTGTTTTCCGTCCTATGACCATCATCTTAAGAACATTCCAGAAGTGGAATCGCAGGGCAGGCGGCCTTTGTGATGGGCTCTTCTCCCTCAGGACACACCCGGCTGCAGGCCAGTGGGTGGACACACCGTGGACTCCAGCAGGTTCCATCTGAGCCCACTGCCAGTGGCGGCCGTGTGCGCTGGGGCCAGACCCCCGAGAAGCCCACACGCGCCTCTGGGGTCCCCCCAAGAAGGATGCCCGCCAGCTCTGTGCCTGGCACTGCCCCCAACACGGGGTGTGGCTGCCGTCCTCTCTGAAGCTCACTCATCTCCAAGTCGGACGGGTCCACCTTTGTTTTCGCTGTTGCTGCTCCCACACGTGCAGGAGCTGTCACACGTGTGGTTCAGAGCTGTTTTCCCCACTCTAGCTTCTCATCCTGCTGACAGCCTTCAGCACAGCAAAAACTGCTGATTAAGTCCAATTTACCCATTTTCTCTGATGGATCATGGTCCAGGTGACACGCCTTTCTGTTTTCCTCTAAAGGCTTTAGAAATCTATGGCCGCTTCTGAGCAGTGGTCACTTACTTGCTATTTCAGGTGTGAAGTTCATGGCAAGGCCACTTTCCTTGCCCAGCGACTCTACGAATGGCTTTGCACCGCTGTCTTCCGCTCCTCCATCCTGCCCTGGGACCTGTGTGTCTGTCCTGACCACACCACACAGGGCTAATTCCAGCAGCTAGAGTCCGCCACGGCCTGGTGGGCTGAACCGACCACTTGCCCTAACTCTCCGATAAATTCTACAGTGAGTCCATCTGAATTCTGGTGGGGACTGAGCTGACCCCTTGACCACTGCTGGAGAGCCTTCCCCTCACTGGTCTCTGGGAGGCGAGCTAGTCTCCCTGTTCACTGAGGCCTTCCCCGACCTCCCGCATCCTGGGACCCTCTTCAACACACCCTGGGGCCTGAAATGCTTTCCCAGGCAAACAGCACGCTGTCTGCACATGGCCACACTGCCTGTCCCTTCTGCCCCTCTCCTACCTGCGTGCACTGCCAGGGTCAGCCCTGGAGAGCGTGCGGTCCTCCGAAACCCAGCGTGTGGCAGGCAGCAGGACTCAAGACGCGCCAGCTCAAGTCTACAGACTACGAGCCAACGGTCTGTCAAGAGTGCTCCCCACAGTGAGTTGGACTCCGGGGACACCTTTTCTGCACCGTGCTATGATCACACAGTTCCCCTCCAGAGCCAGTTAACATGGACCATGCCTGTGGGTTTGAGGATGTTGAGCCAGCCATGCCTTATGGGACAAGCCCTGTCTGGCTGTGGCGAGCTCTTGCGCTGGCTTCTGTGAGCGATGCTTCCCTGGGGTCTCTGGTTTTCTTCTGCATTGTCTCCGTCTGGTTTTGGCATCAGCCTCATAAAATCAACTGCAAAATATTCCCTCCTCTTCCTACTTCCTAGAAAGATCATGTAGAACTGGTGTGAGTTCTTTAAACATTTCGTAAAATTCTCCAGTGAATCCAGCTGGGCCTAGAGATCTCCATGGGCGGTTTTTAACTGAGCTCACTTTCGTCATGGTTACAGACCCTCTCCAACAACCTGTCTCCCCGGCATGGCCCCCTCACAGCAGGCCTAGGGGTGGGGCTGAGGCCGTGAGTCTGCTTTCCTTTGGCACCTCCAGGCTCTGTGGACAACTCATGCTAACCTCTCTTTTTAATCCAACTTAGGAGAGATTTGTCAGCTTTACTAATCTTCTCAGAGAACTAACTTTTTGATCAACCCATTTTCTCTAGTTTTCCTTTTCACTGATGTGGGCTTTTCATCATTTCCTTCCTTCTATTTGTTTTGAGTTTACTTTGCTTTTCTTTACAAACACCTTTAGCTGAGAACTCATAATACCAGTGAGCCGTCTCCTCTTTTCCAAACTGCACACCCAGTGTTATACATCTCCCTCCCGGCATTGCTTCAGCAGCATGCCTCACGTTTAGCTATGCTGTGCTTTCATTCTGTTTGACAAGAGTTTTATTTCCCTTGAGACTTCCCACATAACCTGTGTTATTCAGAAGTGTGTCATTCAATTTCGAAGAGCTTGATTTCGCAGTTATCTCACCGTCATTGATTTCTCCTTTGGTTGTCAGTCAGGGAACGACATGCTCTGCTGGTCTCAGTTCTAACGTGCTGAGGGCCATTTATGGCCCAGCACATGGCCTTTCCTGTGGCTGCTTGGCTGCCTGAGGACCTGTGTCCTGCTCTGGGCAGTGTCCTATGGAAGCCCCACGGCTTCACTGGCCTTCCGTCTGACGGCTCCATCTGCGCTGACACAGGGGTGCCAGGCTCTCCAGCCAGAATGTGGGCCTGTTTCTCCTATCAGCTCCGTGAGCTTCACGCAGGACTCTGTTTTCTGAGTGGGGTGTGATGGACGTCTGGGGTCACAGTGCCAGGCTGAAGGCGGGGCTATACCCTGAGAACGGGCACCCCAGATCCTGAGAAGTCCTTTCCACCACAGGCAGCACCCGAGAGGCTGGGGATGGATGGCCCTGCCTCAAAGAGCCCAGGATAGAGGCAGAAAGCCCAGGACACACCCACAGTTCCAGGAATGCATTCAGGGAGACAAAGAAACCTTGTGAAACTCTGGAAAGCACCCGGGGATGTTATTTTCACCTAAAATTCCACAGGGCCTCCCAACTGCCAAGGGATGAGACAGGCACACGGCCTCCAAAGAATCAGCGTCCTTAGAGGTCTTCTCAGAAAGGACAGTGGCCGGTGGTGGATTCTGCACCCCAGGCCCAGCCCTGAGCAGGGCAGGCAGGCTCCACCATCCTGGGCTGAGGCAGCCCCCAGCTGGCCCCCACACCCCATGGAGCCGGCAGAGGGGCTAGTCCCTGTGCCTGCTCTGGCAACTCCCGGCATTGTCTTGGCAACAAGCTCCTGAAAGGAAGCAGAGGGGCCTCTCCTGGTGTTGCTGGGCCCTGGGGGACTGGGCAAAGCCGACTTCAGGGGGACGCAGAGCCCCCCCAGGGAGACCTGGTGCTCCCCACATACCTCAGGGGGGTGCAGACCCCCCCAGAGAGGCCTAGTGCTCCCCACGTGCCTCAGGTGGCCATCAGTTTACCTTGGAGGCCGGAACTGAGGTCACCGAGGTCTGCAAATGGGTCCTGGCTCTGAGACTTGGTCTGGCTGGCCGAAAGGCCAGGAGGGGTCGGCTGGTCTCCAGGAGAGAAGAAGGGGCCTGGAGAAAGGCAGGGGCATCAGAACCCGCGCACTGGAGGGGCACAGCCTCTGCCCCAGCTCACAAGCTGAAGGCCTCACTTGGCATAGTCACCTCACGTGGGACAAGGCCACACACACAGCAGGGCTGCCCCTGAGGCTCCGTGGGGGCGCTCACCCGACAGCCCGTACAGACCATCCGGGCCTGCCCCACCACCCCTCAGAACCCACCCAAAGTGTGAGTGTGTGTTCCCAAGCTCTCCGTTAACTCTCAGTCCTGTCCTGCCCCAGCTCCTGGGTCACTGAGGAGTCACTGTGAGGTCATTACAAGCGACAGCAGCTCAGAAAGAGCTCTCACCAACCAATCAGAAAAAGGTGACTCTCTGACGCATAAAACTGAAGAACGTGGAACAGTTCTCAAATGAAATATAAAACAAAAAACCACCTCACTCATAATGAAGAAGAGCAAACTGGAAGGACCGACAGCCCGTCAGACCAGCAGAGGCCCGTCTGTGAAGGGCGTCCCCGGAGGCGCAGTGATGAAGAGCACACCTTCCAGGGCAGGAGCCCAGACAGACCCGGGCTGATCCCTGGGCTGGGACAGTCCCCTGGCGGGTGTGGGAACCACTCCAGGATTCTCGCCTGGTGAACCCCATGGACAGAAGAGCCTTGGAGGCTGCAGTCCACGGGGTCAAGGACAGACATGACTGAAGCGACTTAGCGTGCACATACACATCTGTAAACTCACAGCCCGCCGATGAACAGAACTGACAGGGCATGTGGCCCGGGCCTCACACACACTGCTGCCTCCAGAGCAACTCAGTACGGGGTCTCCTAGAGGACGCAGGTGACGAGAGGCCAGACGCCCTCCCAGCCCCAGGAGGGCAGACCAGGACAGCCTGCGGCCTCCCTGGGGCCCTGCAGGAGGCATCAAGGAACAGCTGAGGTAAAAACTAACTTCAGAACCAGCCGCAGGTGTGGCAGGGAGGGGCTAGGGCCCTGCTCCTGACCCCCCTCCTGGGGTGGGCACAGTCTCCCCACTAACCGTCTGCAGCCAGCGTGGGGGCCGGCGCCTCGGCCCAGGCGTCCCAGGCTCCCAGCAGATCAGGGTGGCTGGCAGAGGCAGTCATCTTGCTGGGCTCGGAAGGCAGGTCCCCTGGGAGAACAGCAGCACTCTCTGAGTGTCCTCGGCAGGGCGGACACACAGCCTCACATGGGCTCTCAGGCCCCGGGGACAGGCTGGCCACGGGCGCTGTCTGCGGGGCGCCCCCATCTCCTGCTTGGGCGGGTGGGAGGGAACTGGCACCCCAATAGCTGCCCTCAGGAGGTGGAGACCGGGCAGCTGGGAAGGGGGCCCCCAGGAGCTCCTGGGCACCCAAGCTCCCGCAGGCTGCGCTCACATCCTCTGGGCCGCCCTCCGACTGGTTCCCTTGGGCTGAGAATGCGGCGTGCGGGGTCAGCAAGTGGACATGCTGAGGGTGGTGCTGAGACCAGCATCTAAGAGGTTCCTCACCTGAGAGTTTCTCCAGGGGCCTCCTCCTGCTGCAGCCAGCCACACACCTATGCCCCCAAACCTGCCTCCCGCCCCCCTGAACCCAGCAGGGTGCACGGCACAGACACTTGCTGCGCCCCCGTCCTGGGGAAGGCAGGACCCGTGGCCATGCCCGCCCGTTCGCCCCCAGGAGCGGAGGCCGCCCTCACCCAGATGCAGGAAGTCAGTGCCGCAGGCTGGGGGTGGAGCACTGTGGGTGGAGGGGAAGGGCGCGGGCTGGGCAGCCGAGGCGTCTGAGTTGAGGAATTCGCCGAAGAGGTCAGGCTGTGAGCTGGGGGGGGTGTCCGCGTCAGGTGGCAGCAGGAGCAGGCCGAATGGGTCAGCTGCGGCGACACCGAGCAGGCAGGTGTGAGCACGGGCACTGCCAGGCACACTCAGCCCATGGCACTCACCCCGGGACAACCCTCCCTGGGCACCTGGGCCCCGAGTGGGAGGCAGCGCTGACCAGCGCCCGCCTCTCGATGGTGCAAGGTGCCTGAACAGCAGACCACTCCCAGCAGCAGCACCTACCATCCGGGGCGGTGGTCTGTGTGCAAGGGTCAGGGGCCGGGCTGCTAAAGAGCAGGGCCGTGTCCCCGTCAAGCAGGCCCCCCGCAGCTCCCTCTGGAGCAGGATCTGGGGCCCTGAGCAGGCAGCTGAGCAGGTCTGCATTGCTGGTGAGGCCGCCAGGGGCATGGGGGGTGGGCGCGGGCCCCGCCTCCACGTGCAGCCCCAGGAGGTCCACACTGTCCTCCTGCTGCACGGCGGGGCCGGGCACATCCTCGTCGCCTGTGTCCCCACTCTCCACAGAGGGCGTTGGGGCTTCCTCATCGGACGGCTCGCTCACACGGCCATCCTCAGCCACAGCAGAGGGACCCTCCTCGGCCAGGGGACCCTCCGGGCCCGTCGTGGAGTCCCGGTCCTCTGCAAAAGAAGACGGCAAGACGGCTGTGGCTCAGCACAAGGGGGCGTTGAGGGGAGCGCCATGGGGCAGCCAGGCCCGCCGACCCACCCCGCCAGTCCAGCGTGTGCAGGAAGTGGTCGGCGTCCACGCTGCTGTGAGGCGAGTCCGCCTCCGGGGGCTCGGCGTCCGTGGGCCCGACCTCGGCATCATACTGTGCGGTGGACCCAGGCTGCCTGGGGAGCTCTGGCTTTCCTGCAGGAAGAAGGGGTGTCAGGCCTCCCACTCAAGGCTCCAGGACCAGGCCCAGGGCTGGGACGAGCTTGCACATCCAGAATCCACAGGACAACCGACGTGGGCCCATAACTGCTGCCCAAGGCCTCCCCAGGTCATACGTATGCACACATGTGTACCCATGCACACACAGGCGTGCACACAAGAGGTGCACATGCTTTTCAGGAATACTTAGCTATATATACCTCACATGAAAAATAGAGAAAAAGCCAGCCAAGAACACAGGCAACTTGTGCCGTGGCCAAGGGAGCCGCAGGGTCACCACCAGCGGGCTTCCGGCACTCGCTCAGAACCACTCTGGAAGGAAGCTCCTTGACCCCGCGGACAGGGGGGTCACCAGGATGACCTCTGCAGGGGGCCCTGTAGGTGTGCCCGCAATGCAGGATCTCACCAAACTTGGACAGGATGTCCTGCTGCTCCTCCCGGCTGGAGAAGAGGATCTTGGGGTTCAGCCCTCGCATGCCTGCACCCTCCCAGGGCGGAGCCTCACGGCCGGGCCTGTCT